GGCAAGTGGATCGTTGTGAATTTTCACTCTATTAACGTAGAAAATTAAACCCGCTGTAAAAAATGAATCTCAAGACAACATTAATACTCTTACTTCTAAGTCAACTTACGTATTCGTGCGTGCATGCCGAAGAAGCTGCAACCGGAACTATTAAGCAGCATTCGCTTCGTACACCTTTGCCAAATTTGCCAGCCGATCATTTGATACGCTATTTGAATACCTTCCCACAAGTGTGCACTGAGTGAAGAATGTCAGCGCGCTATTAAAACTAACGCCTCCACATTTAGATCAAATGACGCAGCAGTACTTACTACAGAAGCAGCGGTCGCAACAACTGTGACGGTGTCTGGCGGCCAGACCGACTCCACTTCATGTTGGGGTCATGAGCTTGACTGTGATGAAAAGAGACGTTTTCAATTACCCACTTGCCCCGGTGAACACCATGGTTGGGTGCAAAGTAAACCTGCTCAAGTGAGCACTTTTTACTATCAAGCCGATTTCGGTTACATACAACAACAAATCAGCGAGTTATCACTTATGTGAGAGCCTAGCTATATCACCGATTCTTCACTGGAGTGCAGCAAGTATTTACGCTTTTGTCGTGGATGCAACTCGCTTTTAGATTTCCGTGATCTAATACAACGCAAAGAACTTATACGCTATCATATGGATGTGCTGAAGCCGAGTCAAATATTGGGACATTGTCAGTTGAATAGAACACGCTTACAGGTGGAGCTTGATCATATGGGCGCGCTGCAGTCTTGGGCACCAGAGTTGCGTAATTTCGACGAATTGCCAATGCCGCTAATGACAAGTGGCGAATGTGATTTAATTGTAGATACGCCCACTTTTATTATGAAAATTGATGCTACTTACAATATGTATCACCACTTCTGTGACTTCTTCAACTTATACGCCTCACTATTTGTGAACCAGTCTCATGCACTGGCATTCCACACCGATACGCGTATCTTGATATGGGAAACATATCCATATGATTCGCCATTTGCGGAGACATTCAAAGCATTTTCCGATAATCGAGTATGGACGTTGAACGATGTAAAAGGAAAGCGTGTATGCTTTCGAAATGTGGTATTGCCTCTATTGCCACGCATGATTTTTGGTCTCTTCTACAATACACCGTTGGTAAGTTGCGCTTTTATATTTTTCTACCTCAGTACTGATCAAAAGTCTTTCAGATTCATGGCTGTGAAGGTAGCGGCTTATTTCGCGCTTTCTCTGAATTCATACTGCATCGTTTACAAATACCATTTCGCCCACCTTTACAGCAAGCTAAGTTGCGCATTACCTTACTATCACGCCGCACAAAGTATCGACAAATTTTGAATGAAGACGAGCTGCTCGAAG